GGAGGCCACAACCACGTGGTGTTACACAGATTTATAGAAATGGGTTAAATTAAGATGTAAGAGTCAGCCAATAAGAAGCTAGAGCTAATGGGCCAAGCAGTGATTTAATTAATACAGTTTCTGTATGGTTATTTTGGTTCTGGGCAGCTGGGACAAACAAGCGGTTCCTTGCAACACACAGGCTCGTGCATCTGAACATTTGGTTCCCAGGTGGTAGTGCTGTTTGGGGATGTTATGGAACCTTCAGGAGGTAGAGCCTTGCTGGAGAATGCAGGACACTAGGTGTGGGCTTTGGGGGTTTTTAGCCTGGCCCCCATGTCCTCTTATCTCTACTTCCTGTGTGAGAATGAAAACAGGCCCACCAGCTTCTGGCTGCCACTGCCATGTCCAGCCTGATCTGAAGCCATGACTCTCCTGTCATGTGCTCTATCCCTCTGGTACTACCGTAAGCTAAAACAAACTCCTTCTTCCTTAAGTTGCTTTTGGTCATAGTTGTCTTAGTTAGGATTTCTACTGCTGTGAAAAGACACCATGACCACGGCAACTTTTATAAAGAAAAACATTTAATTGAGGTTGTGGCTTACAGTTTCAGAGGTTCAGTCCACTATCGTGGTGGGACATGGCAGCATGCAGGCAGACATGGTGCTGGAGAATTTCACATCCTGCAGGCAACAGGAAGTGAACTAAGTGTATCACTGACCAAAGCTTGAGCAAAAGAGACCCCAAAGCCTGCTCCCACAATGACACATTTCCTCCAACAAGGCCACACCTACTTCTAGAAGGCCACACCTCCTAATAGTGCCCCTCCCTTTGGGGGCCATTTCTTTCAAACCACAATGGTGTTTATCCCAACAGAAAAGTAATAGAGGTTCTAGCAATAGAAGCAGTATACATCTTGAGTTTACTCTCTCTCCTCCTTCCTCCTCTGTCATCTTTCTTCTCCACCACAGAAAAACAATACAGCAATGTCATAACAAGGTCTGAAGAAGGCACATTCCACACAATGCTATGAAAATTCAGTCATCACACCTTACCAGATTTCTTGATTGCATCAAGATACCACGTGGAGGAATGGTGTCCATGTCAGTAAGCAGTTCGTCTGTAGTAATAGACAGACAGATACATGAATAATGGACTCCAGGTCTACCCCAAGCATTCTACTTCTGAGCCTCTCACCCCGTACCCAAAGGCAAGTGAATATTTGTTGCTGCTGTTGTTTAGACACAGGGCTTCATATAGCCCAGACTGGCCTTCAATTTGATATGTAGACAAAAATCCTTCTGCATCCACATCCCAGGTGCTGGGATTACAGGAGTATTCCATCCCACATACACTGAATTGTTTATTCGCCATGGATAATAAACAGTCGGGTACTGAAAAGGGACTTTCAGCCAGACATCTTGGCACTTACCTGTAATCCTAGGCGGTGGGTGAGGGACAGGGTGGCAAGGTGGGTATAAAGGGCAATATCATAAATTGTTTGTGTGTTTGTTGAGACTGTCTTACTACAAGCCCAGACTGACCTGGAACCTGCTATGTTGACCAATCAGAGATCAGCTTACCTCTACCTTCAGGGTTCTGGGACTAAAAACATATAACCACACCTGGGCAGAATCATACATTGGAGGGCAGCCTGGATTACAGACTGAGACTCTCTCGCATGCAACAAAGTGATTTGTTACAGAGACAACCTAGTATCATTTTTTGATTTAAATTTGAGCCAAAAAAAAGTACTGAATGCTGTACTTAACCCTGACTGTGTAAGCCCAACCTATCATCATGGTCATCTGGCAATCAGACATCAGTTTAGGCTGACATCCCATGGTTTAGAAGCTAACTTCTCCATAAATAGAAAGTCTTTCCTACATGCTTTCAAGTGCCTACTTAGAATGAATGGTCATAAATAGCTTTCTTTTTTAAACACAGAGTTTCTCTATGTAACTTTAGAGCCTGTCCTGGCACCCACTCTGTAGACCAGGTTGGCCTCGAGTTCACAGAGAGATCTGTCTGCCTCTGCCCCCCAAATGCTGGGGTTAAAGACATGGCCACCACTGCCCGGCATAAATAGCTTCTTTTAAATGCTTTTTTTTTCCATTTGAAAAAGATTATGACCTTGTCTTTCTTTGTGCTCCTTATTTGTAAAGAAATATTTTTTTTAATTTAATGTATAGAAGTGGGGTGGTGGTGATACATGTCTTTAATCCCAGCACTCAGGAGATAGAGACAGGAGGATCTCTGTGAGCTTAAAAACAGCCTGGTCTACAGAGAGAGTTCCAGGACAGCCTCAAAAGTCACAGAGAAACCCTGTCTCAAAAAAACAGACCAAAAAAAAAAACCAAAAAAAAAATGTAATGTAAAAGAATGTTCAGCCTGTATGTACAGTGCCCACAGAGACCAAGAAGAAGGCTCATATCTCCTTGAGCTGGAGTCACCATGTGGTGCTGGGACTCAAACCTGGGTCCTCTGCAAGAGCAGCAAGTGCTCTTTTTTTATATTTTAAGTTGTTTTATTTTTTCTCTTATCTTTGTACCTGTAGCAAAACTTCTTTTTCCCAGTTGACCGATAACAGCCTATCGATTGATCAATTATCGTTAACACCAGGTGGGATTCGAACCCACGTCCCTTGGCACTAGGGAGCATTAGGCACTCCTAGCCACTGAGCCACGACTCAAGCTGCTATTTAGTACAGCCAGCGCTGGTGTAGGCTGGTCTTGAACTTAGAGGTCTTTGCTCCAAAGAGTAAATCCTACCGGCCTGCGCCACCAGAACCGGCCTCAGCAAGTGCTCTTAACCACTGAGTCATCTCTCCAGCCCGTGTTCCTTAATTTTAAATGATCTCTGTATGAATGTATCTGCATCATGCTGTTCAAGACACTTTTGTTTGTTTGTTTTTTGAGACAGGGTTTCTCTGTGTCACAGTCGTGGCTGCCCTGGAACTCACTTTGTAGACCAGGTTGATCTTGAACTCAATGAGATCCACTTCCCTCCCTCTTGGGTGCTGGGACTAAAGGTGTACGCTACTACCTCCCTGCTGCCACCACTGCCCAGCTAAGACACTCTGAAGACAGCTCTTTTTTTCCCCTGAGTCAAAGCTTTGCCATGTACCTCTGTCTCAGCACTTGCTATACAGCTGAGAGTGGCCTCAAACTCGCAGGAGTCGGCCTGCCTCAGCCTCCTGAGTCTGAATTCACGAGTGTGCTCTGCAAGTTTTACTCTCATTTCTGTCGCTGTGATAAAATACCCAGCCTGCGGAATTCTAAGGAAGAAAAGGTTTACTCCGCTTACGATGGATGCAGTCTAACACTGAGGGTAAGTCAAGGGGAAGGGAACCAGAGGCAGCTAGTCACAGCCACAGTCAAGAGTAGAAAGAATAAATGCATGCCTTCCCAGATCCACCTCTACTTATCCAGGACCCAAACCTAGGGAATGATGCCGCCCTCAATGGGTGGTCTTCCAGCTATACTCAGCAATCAAGTACACCGCCCCCCTCCCACAGACATTCCTACAGGCCTACACTTATCTGCAGTGAGACTCTCTTCCCCTTAGGTTGTGCCACATTAACAAAACTAACAATCACAGAGTTCTGCCTTTAAGATCACTGGCTGCTCTTTCAGAGGACTTGTGTTCAATTCACAACACCTACAATGGCAGCTCACGACTGGTTGTAACTCCAGCTCCAGGGGATCTGATGCCCTCTTCTGGCCTTGACCACCATCCCCTACACACACACACACACACACACACACACACACACACACACACACAGAGTATACAGACATACACGCAGACACAACACCCATACACACAAAAGAAAAATTTTAAAAATATGTATAAAAAGCAAGACACCCAATGTCCTTCCCACTCAGTTCTCGCAGGGAGGGAACCAAAGGCATCCCAGTTAAGCAACTGTTTCTGTGGCGTTCAATGCTGACATCCAAGACACTGCCAAAGCTCCCGTGTGACTTGCTGAGAGCTTCCTGTTTTGTACTCATCCTCCCCTTCAAGTCCATACCCCACATTAGTTACTTTCCTTGTCTCTGTAACAGAACATCCAACAGAAACACCTTAAGGTACAAAGATTTGGGGTTTATGGTTTCAGAGGGTTCAGTCGGTTGAGATGGAGATGGCAGAGAGAGCAGTCCACATCACTGTGGGTCAGGAGGCACCTCCTCTTTTCTCTCTACCTTAAGTATCCATCAATACTTAGAGTCTCTATTACTTTCAGAAGGTCATAAGATCTAATATTAAGGGTCCTGTGTGCTCAGTCCATATATAACATGTAGTAAGGAGGAGCGGGTTGCATCCCACCTCCCGGCTAGCTTAACCCCTGAAATAACCACATAGAAATTGTATTAATTAAATTACTGCTTGGCCCATAAGCTCTAGCCTCTTATTGGCTAACTCTCACATTTTGATTCAACCCATTTCTAATAATCTGTATGTCACCACGAGGTCGTGGCTTACTGGGAAAGATCCAGCATGTCTGACCTGGCAGCTTCATGGCAGCTTGGCTCTATCTGCTGCTTTCTTCCTCCTAGAATACAGTTCTGTCTTCTCCACCTATCTAAGGTCTGCCCTATCAGGCCAGGCAGTTTCTTTATTTATTAACCAATGGAAGCAATACAAAATACAGAAGGACCTCCTACACCAATAACACAATTATTCACAACACAACATATAACACAACAAATTCACAACTACTCTGATTAGTCCTCTATCCTGCCCCCCACCCCTTGCCACTCACCATTCTAGAAAATTGTGCCCAGAAGTGAGGTCGCTCCTCTGAAGACCAGTTTGTATTGACCAAACGCAGGCAACTTGACTGCAGATTTGACACTTCTAGCCGCTCCCCTCTTCTGTGTTTATATCCCCAGTTTTCCTAATTGCCACAGCATTTTGTAAGTATAAGCCTCTTCCACATTCCTTTTTAGGACAAAATAACACTGATAAATTTGTAAATCAATTCTGCCCTAGTCCTTTTGTAGGATTTTCTTTTCTTTTAAAATATGGAATACTTCATGAATTTGCTCGTCAGCCTTGTGCAGGGCCAGGCTGATCTTCTCTGTATTGTTCTAATTTTAGAACACGTGCTATCAAAGAGAGCACGCCATCACTTTTTCCTTATTCTTTTTATGGCACCTAACAAATTACTCTTTAAAAGTACCTGCTTTTATCTGTACTTTTATGGGAGAACTTTTTTTCCAGACAGGGTCTCACTGTGCAGCCCCGGCTGTCCTGGAACTCACTGTGTATGTAGATCAGGCTGGCCTCCAATTCATAGAGATCCACCTGCCACCATGCTTGGCTCAGAGCAATTTTTCTTAACTGCTATTACTTTAAGTTATAATACAGACCCGTCTGTCATATTCTTGTGTGGGGGGGAGTTGTTTTAGGATAGGCTCTCACTCTGTAGGCCAAGTTGGCCCTGGGTGCACAGCAATTCTCCCTCAACTTTCCAAGTGATGGGATTATAGGCATGTGCCACCATATTTGATGTTGTCATTGTCATTTTGATGGCCATAGAATGCGATAATGTGGTCTAAGAGTATATACTTGATGAATTTCTCATTTAATAATTGTGTCCACAGCTGAAGTACCCTAAAAACTGAGAAAAAAAAAGAACCAAGCACTCAAAACAACTTTTATTTTCTTTCTTTCCTTTCCTTTCTCTCTCTCTCTCTCTCTCTCTCTCTCTCTCTCTCTCTCTCTCTCTTCCTTTCTTTTTCCTTCTTTCTTTCTCTCTCTCTCTCTCTCTCTCTTTTTTTTTTTCCAAAACAGGGTTTCCCTATGTCACCCTAGCTGTCCTGGAACTCACTCTGTAGACCAGGCTGGCCTTGAACTCACAGAGATTTATCTGCCTCTGCCTCTGCCTCTGCCTCCTGAGTGTTGGGATTAAAGGAGTGCTCCAATGGCATTTTTTTTTTTTTTGAGAGCCAGCCAAGGTTCTGGGGAGTGAGTACCTGGCACAGTGAACAGAGTTATCTGCCATGCCAGCTCTCAACCCAGGGTTTCAAATGACAGAACAGCAGTGTTAACTCAACTCTCTAATCCAGCACTGCGAACTGAGGAGCACAGAGGGAATAGCCACCCTCCTCTTTTAACTACTCACCAGCTAGCCGTGTGGGCATCTGTACCTCCAACACTTGAAACATTAATTATTCCTGTTGTTGAGTGTGTTGGCACACATCTGTAATCCTAGCACTTGGAAGGCTGGGGCAGGAGCATTGTGAGTTTGAAGTCAGCCTGCTGTACATATCAAGTTCCAGGCCAAATGGTGAGATTTAGCCCTTTTTTCTTTTCTAATTACATAAGGAAATAAGTCCTTTCTCCTCCACTTAAAGATTTTCCAAGGACCTGAATATTGCTGTACTGTATCGATGTCAGTATCAACCTTCAACATTAAGAAATTTGTACATATTATTGAAGATAAAGAAGAATTTATTATCTTAGGCTGCTAATTTGCATACGTTTGCATATGCATGCTCTTTCTGCTGCGGGAAAAGGACAGATGAAACTGAATCAGAGATGGGTTAATTTCATGCAAACACACAGCCAGTTCACCCGGGTTCTCTTTCAGTGGCAGCCACCGTCACCGCTCCCCATGGCTTGATAGCAAAGATTGAATTTCTCTTCTTGCTGTGTTTAGCATCTATTTTTAACTTGGCCAACTGACTTACCAGGGAGCCATGTGAGTGCTGCTATTTTTAAATAAACAATAATTGTCCCTGAAACCCACGGTCAGGAAAGCGTTGTCCAACTCTCCTGCACACGGCCCAGGGTATAAACTGCTTGTTTTTGTTTGTTTGTTTTTGAGATAGGGTCTCCTGTACTCTCAGCTGTCCTGGAACTTACTCTGTAGCTAAAGACAGCTTGAACGTCTTCTGACCCTCACACCTCCCCTCTGCTCCAAGCTAGGGATTTACTACACACATTATAAACTAATAATTATAAAGAATAAGCACTAGGCAGGCACGGTAGTTCATGCCTTTAGCCCCAGCAGTGAGGAGACAGGGGTAAGTGAGACTCTATGAGCTGTGGGCAAGCCTGAATTTCATGCCAGATAGAACTTCATAGTGAGATCATCTCAAAATAAAGAATATTTGATGAACCCTGCTGTATGCCTGGACTACGTACTTGTGTATGTCTTCTCAGCTAATTCTCACAAATAATTCTGTGTTGGCACAGACTTCTTGCCTCACATACACACTAAAACCCTGCAAACAACAAATTACAGCTCTGAGGGCGTGCATGGCAGTCAGCCCTGAGTTCAAATCCTATCCTCGCCACTTGTTGGCTAGGGGAACTTGGGCAAACGACCTAAGCCCTCCGAGTCTCACTCAGCTCTTTCACTTAAAATTTCACTTAAAATGTGGGCAGTGCTTCTTGTAGGCAGGGCTGTTCACTGGGTGCATAGTAAGCCAAGCCCTTCTACAGAGTCTAGGGCAAGCAGTCACATGATGAAAATAGCTGCTGTGGGAGGTGACTCGGTAGGTGAAAAGCTCAGTAGCCAAGCCTGATGACCTGAGTTCAGGGCCACTCCCTGCAACCACAGGGGCTTGGAAAGAAGTAACTGCTGAAAGTCATCCTCTGACCTCCACATGTGCACCCCATAAACAAACAAACAAATAAATGAATGAATAAACAAATAAGTGAGTGAACACGCAAATAAATAAATGGTTGGATGTTTTGTTTTTGCTTTTGAGACAAAGCCTCATTATGCAGCCTCCCCTGGCTTAGAACTTAACTATGTGGAATAGGCCGGCCTCGAACTCATAAAGATCCACCTGCCTCGGTCTCCTGAGTGCAGGAACTAAAGGTATGTTCCACCAAATCTTACTCAGGTATTATTTTATCTTTCTTTTTGTTTATTCTTTGTGTCTTTCACATCATGAGTCTCGATCTCATTCATCTTCCCGTCCCTTTGTATCTGCCCTCTGCCCCAACCTCTTCCCCTACCAAAAAAATAAAATTTAAGAAAAAAAAGGATAAAAAAAAAAAAAAAGATCTCATCATGGAAGCTGTGGTGTGACAAAGTGAGTCACACAGTAAACCTTTTGGTGCATACGTCTTTATAGCAAGTGTTCATTGCGGAGTCATTGGTCTGGTTAGAGGCCTCTGGTTTATGCTACACTCTCGAGGCTGGGCCCTCATTGGGCCTCCTCTTGGATATCCTGTTGTCGCCCTGTGTCATGAAGACCCTCAACTCTGGGTCTGCAGGACGGGCACCTTCATGTGCTCCAGCGGATCATAGATGGGATAGATGTTTGGGAAGGCCAACTCTTAATTCTGGTTCTGAACCTGGGAAGTTGCAGGGCTGGTCAGTCCATCAGCTCTCTCCCGTCCTCACCTCCATGGCGAGCTCTCCAGCATTGCCACCCCTTGCAGCAAGCAAGGGCCTGGTTCTCCTGCTTTCACACCCTCAGGTCAGTTTTCCCACACCAGCAGGCCTACCTCTTACTGTGCTGCCCAGGCGAGGTACAGGGTCCACTCTCCTGACTGCTGAAGCTGGTGAGGGGCAGGACAGCTCTGCTGCTCTAACGACCTCAGGGCCAGCTCGCCCACCCGACACAGGCAGTTAGGGTGGGGGGCATCTCTCCCAGGCCCACTCCATCATACAACAGATGAGGGGTGGGACAAGATCTCCCGTGTTCATGTTCTAGGTCTAATCACCCCACAGTCAATGGAGTCTGCTCTATTGTGCTGCCTGGATGAGGTGCAGGGGCCGTTTTCCAGAGCGCTGCAGCTGGTAAGGGAGAGGTCAGCTCTCTTGCCCACTGCAGGTATCGGGGGGGAGTGAGGAGGGCATCTTTCTCTTGCCCTCACCACCACACAGCAGATGAGGCGGGGTGTGGCCAGCTCGCCCACTCTCACACCCTGGGGGCTGGCTCACCCCATCTCCACCAACAGGGTCAGCTCTCTACTCCGCTGCCCAGGAAAGGGGCAAGGTCCAATTTAGGTATTTTTGGGGTAAGGTCATTCTAAGTATCCCACCACACCCAATAGATATAATTTGTGTGTGTGTGTGTGTGTGTGTGTGTGTGTGTGTGTGTGTGTGTGT